CTGTCTATCCCACTCAAACTTGACCATCTGGTGCAAAGTGGACGGGACTGCTTTGGCGGCATGTATCCAAGGCCGAACTAACAGAAAATTGTAAGAGACGGCTACATCCAATACCTAGAACTCCATAGTGAATTCAACCGGTCCTATTGTCAATTCAAGCACTATATCACCAACCGAATCCTTTCCTCCACCGTCAAAACCACGGACACATATACTGTTCTTATGGACCCTTTCAGTATCAATCTTCAACTTGTGCAAAGTGGAAAGAGGGCAAATGTTTGCACTGGAACCATTATCTACCACACCCTAGTGACCACAGAATCTTCACATTTCATTGTAAGATAGAGAGCTTTGTTGTGTTCAGTACCCTCCACCGGTAACTCGTCATCAGAGAAAGTGACCTTGTTCACCTCAAATATCTTATTAGCGATCTTCTCCAAATGGTTCACTGTGATTTTATCGGGGACATGAGCTTCGTTCAGAATTTTCATCAGGGCCCGACGATTCTCGTCTGAATGGATCAACAATGATAGTAAGGAAATCTGAGCGGGAGTCTTCCTCAACTGCTCCACGATTGAGTAATCTTGCACTTTCATTTTTCTCAAAAACTCCTCCGCTTCTTCTTTAGTGACTGCTTTCTTTACTAGAACTGGATTATCTCCGGGTGTTTTAGCCTTCCTTAACTCCTCCGGGGCAAAGCATCTCCCCGAACGAGTTAATCCTTGGGCCTCATTGACTTCTTCTTTCACTTCTTTCCCCTTATAGGTTACTATCACCCGTTCATAACTCCATGGGATAGCCTTGGTGTTGATTACCGGCAACAGGGTTACAAGCTTGATGATGACAGGGTCCGTACGGGCACCCTCCACAACTATGATAGGCTTATTTGCCAACCTGGGCATGATCACGTTTGACTTTTCTTGCTTTGCTACAGCATCAACTGGGGATCTCTTCTCAACTACCACAGATGGTTCACCATTCGTCATGCTCAACTTGTTCACTGGTCCTTAAACCATTGGTTTTGTGACAATTGCTTCCTTGACTGTCTTGGCCTCACTAGAACGAATCATCATAACAAATTATGATGGCTTGTTGGGTTCCCCCTCCTTGTGTACTATCTCGATCATGTTCGTTTCATCATGAGTCGGCAATGGGTTCTGATTGATGTTGGGGGTTTTCGGAGTTTGGAAAACAATCTGGTTTATATCAATGAGCTCTTGGATGGCATTTTTCAAGTGCCAGCACTTTTCCGTATCATGCCCCAGAGTATCAGAACAGTATGCACAGCTCAAGGAGTAATCAAGATTCTTTGGAGGAGGGTTTCGCAATTTCGACTCGATTGGCCTCAGCACATCCAACTGCCTCAATCTCTGGAACAAGCTAGTATAAGACTCCCCCAATGGAGTGAAAGATTTCTTCCGCTGCAACCTTTTATTTCTGAACATTGGCTTGGGCCAAAAACCTGGACCAGCAGGGTTTTGGTAGGCTCATGGAGGTGGGTAAGCATTTTGTGGAGCTGGGTAGGTGTTTTTGTGGGGTTAGGAGCGACACCGACTATGGGTAAGAAGGAGGTTGAGTGTATGATTTGGCGTGGTGAATAGAAATCTGAGGGTCTGGTGATGGGAAGTAGTGTTGGGGTGAATTATATGGGTTTTGGGTGTAGGTTCGTTGATGGGGTCGCGGCTGGGTATAATGGTGTGACGGGCCCCTTGGTCCAAACCATGATCCTGAATCAACTGTTGCCACATCTTCTTTCTTCTTCTTTCCAATCACTCCTCCAGTACCACTCTGGATGGCTTGGGTAGTTGCTTTGATGGCCGAGTAGCTCATGATTTTTCTCGACTTAAGCCCTTCTTCCACCATGCCGCCCATCTTTATTACCTCATTGAAAGACTTGCCTATGGCCAATATCAGATGGACAAAATAAGTGGGCTCCAAAGCTTGCAGAAAATACTCCACCATTTCGTTCTCCTCCATCGGAGGGTTACCTCTTGCCGCTTGTTCTCTCTAGCGAAAACCATATTCTCTGAAACTTTCTCCTGGCTTCTTTTCTATCTTAGTCTGGGACAAATGATCTGGAACGATCTCTATGTGGTACTGGAAGTACCGTGCAAATGCTTGGGCCAGATCATCCCATGGTACCATCTGCTATGATCTTGACGTGTATATCACTCTAATGCCGTGTCACTCAAACTCTGGCTGAAGTACGCCATTAAAAGCTCATCTCTTCCACCAGCTCCTCTCATTTTACTGCAGAATCCCCTCAAGTGGGCCACCGGGTCCCCGTGCCCGTCATATAGGTCAAATTTAGGCATCTTGAATCCCACTAGCAGCTAGACATCAGGAAATAGACACAAATCTTTGTAGGCTATGCTCACCTGGCCTCCCACTCCCTGCATGTTTCTGAAAGATTGTTCCAAGCTTCTACCTTCCTGAACATCTCTTCCTGTTCCGGGTTTTAGGTAATTTCAGTTTCAACAGGGAGGTCAAAACGACGAGTATAAGAGTGATGATCTGGGGCCCTGAAAGTAGGCTCGGGGGATAGTACTGATTACTTGGGTCTGGAATAATGGCTCGCTGGAGGACCGATGGAGTGTAGCTGGTAGGGGTGCTACGAAAACAGGCGTGGTTGGTGGAGGGGGTAAGTGGTTGTTTTGGCTGGTGNACCATCGTTCTAAATCGCTCCCAAATCTCATGCAAAGGTTCCGTGGGCTCTTGCTTGAAAGCCAATATCTCATCTCGAAGTGCCGCCATGTGCCCGGGTGAGAAAAATTTAGCAATAAACTTATCTGCCAACTCATCCCAAGTTGTGATGGAACGGTTGGGGAGTCTCTCTTGCCAATCCAGTGCTTTCCCCCGAAGTGAGAATGGGAAAAGCCTCAACCTAAGAGCATCCTCGGACACATTCGTCTGCTTGCTACCCCAACATGTATCCACGAACCCGTTGAGATGCTTGTAGGCATTTTGATCGGAGGCCCTAGTGAAATACCCACGTTTCTCGAGCAAGGTCAACATCACATTGGTTATTTGAAAATTCCCCGCCCGGATTTGGAGAGGGACAATAGCACTCGCATACCCTTGATTCGGTAATACTTTGGGAGCCACTCTTGGAGGTGGGGGAGGAAGGTCTGGAATGTTCTCATTAGCATTGGCCTGATGGCCTCGTCGTGGTTCGGGAGGTACGAGAGGCACCTCATCCTCTCCAATTTCATCAACCTCCTCCCCCGTAAGCACATTTCCAAGAGGGTCATTAGCATTTAAAGCCATTTGGTACCTGTAGTAATCACACACACACAAATTAGTAACCAAGAAGGAAAGAAGAACAACACACAAAACTAACTAAATAGACAGCCAAAACCGTTAGCTCCCCTGGCAACGGCGCCAAAAAGTGATCGCAGCCAACTCCACACTACTAATAAGTAGCAAGAGAGGGTCGCAATAGATTTTATTCGATTTGGGTCAGGATCGAATCCATAGAGAGCTAGGATTAGAATCGAGTATCTATCTAGTTTAGGATTGCGTATGTGTTCTTAATTGGTCTTCTATTCATTTTTGGTTTTTCTTTATATTCTACTATGATCAATCTACAAATGATAATTGCAACTAAATTATGCTAAGAGTAAATTGCTACAAGCTGTATCTAATGGTTTAAAAAGGCACTAGGGTAGTGACTTTCACCTAGGTGGCTAATTGACGGGTAATTGCATCTAAGGCACGATTGACATGATTGGGGAAATATGTTATAACCATTGCTCAATACTACCCACTCTACACCTCTCGGTAGAAAGAGTGGTTTTGCCCAATTGACTCTCTCAAGACCAATTAGGTATGCACATTTGCCCAAGCAACTAGGGTTCAAGTCGGGTATTACTCTCTCGAGGTTTAACCCTTTAATTGGGACTATCAAATCTCTTGAGACCATCCCAATTCCTTGTTGAGTCAATTTTGGAGACTTAGGCTCTCTTTCTCAAGAAGAGCCCAAGTCAACTTAGCACAAACTAGTGTTTGCAACCACTAATTCATAAATTAAACTATAAAATTGGCCCAAATAACAAACACCCATAGTCAATCTAACCTTAAATCACAACACCCATCAATTACCCACACTAGGGTTGAGCCAAAACCCTAGCTAATGGGTCTAGATACTCATGCTTGAAGAGAATATCAGAGAAATAGATGAAGAGAAAGACATATTAATTAATTACTAATGTAAATACAAAGATTCAACGATTAAAACTAAGTAAAAGTGCCCAAAATGGCTAAGAAATGTCTTCTCACGAGCGCAACTAAAGTCTGATAATATTTGATACCCTAAAAATGGAAAAATGTTCTATTTATACTAAGCTGAAAATACTGGACAAAATTTCCCCTGCGGGGTCAGTGCGGACCGCACAAAATGGTGTGCGGCCGCACTAGGCTCTTGAACTTGAAATTTTGACTCTCTGAACCCAGGCTCCGCGGACCGCACAGAATGGTCTGCGGCCGCGGAGACTTCTAGCGCGGTCCGCACAAAGTCGACCGCGGACCGCACATGCTTGAATCTTTCCACTTGGCATCTCTCTGAACCTTGCCTCTGCGGACCGCACAGAATGGTAGTGCTGCCGCGGAGGTCCACCGCGGACCGCACAAAGTTTAGTGCGGCCGCATTGCTTCGAAGCCTGAAATGTTGAGTCTCTGAACCTCTCTAGTGCGGACCGCACAAAGTGTAGTGCGGCCGCACTAGGCTTGTTTTTCCTGAGTTTGTCTTGTCTTTTGGTACTTGTGCAGGTTTTACTCCTTTTGAGCTGATCTTTGACATCTTGTCACTTTGTTGATCAAACCTGCAATCAAGCACAACTTATGAGCCTTTTGGGACTATTTTGTATGAAATTATAATTAAAGCATAAGCACAAAAGGGTATAAAATGCGTCAAAATCCCTAGTTATCACTGCGGGCCTTTGCGCCATGTCGTCTTGGAGGCAAAACAAGTCATCCATGATCCGTCGAACAAAAATCATAACTTAAGCGAAGAACATGGATCTGGTCATGCCTTCACACTCGTTGCATTTCATCACAATGTAGTCCACAATTCTCCTAACCCTTTCCCTGATAATACCCTTCTCCTGTAGCAACCGTCCGATCTGCTGAGATCTGGCACCCAAAACTTGTTCGGCTGTATGGTTTTGCTCTTGAAGCTGCTGAAGGTCATTCTCTACCTGTGCCATTAGGGCATAACAATGCTCCCTTTCTGCTTTGACATCACTTGCCTGCTTGGCCATCTCATTCTCCAGGATATTGACCTTTTTCTTTATACTCACCATCCCTTTGTCATACTTCTCCTTTAGTTGCCGAATGAAACTGGCCCATCCCTCCGAATTCTTTGCTAACTTATCTCGGGCATTTGCTAGCTCCGCTTCAGTCTTTTGCAATTCATCCTCAAAATCACGCACCTTTTGCATAAGGTTGTAGATGAGCTTTTCGTCTTTTCTGCTCCTGCCCGGGTTCTCAATTGCTATTCTCGTTTTTCGAACTTGGGCTCGGAGAGCTTCATTCTCTTGGGCCAACTTTCTTCTCTCACCTTCGGCTTCTTGTGCTTGGAGATCATTGTTGAATTCTATGTTTCTCAGCTTCTCTTTCAAGGCATGAATCTCAGCTTGATATTCCTTTTCCTTTTCTCCCCAGGCCACCCTTTCTTGGATTTTGTCATCAAAAGCTTGAACATGAGGTCTTTTGGTAGGCCTTTCGGGCTCGGGCCCGGGCTCAGGCTCTGGCTCGTTGTTCACACAAGACCTTTTCTCGAACCATGTAGCATAATTTGGATCCACTTCCCCCTTTGCGACATCTAGTACCTGGGTGCCATTTTTCAGATACCGGCAGCCATTCTAATCCTGCTGAACTAAAGCCTCGGGCAATGCAGCTTCTGGATGTAGCTCAATGACCTGGGTGGTTAGATCTTCATCTTCGGGCACAATCTGATATCTTCCTAACTGCCTCAAGACCCTCTGCGGTGCATATGGCTGGATACTCCTCACACCCATCAATCTCAGGTAACCCTTGGTAGCAGTCATGTATATGGCTTCTGTCATCGGGAGCCATCCTATAGTCCACTCGACCTGACTTGCTTTGAGAGATTTCAAGTGGGAGACCCAGGCTTCAAACCCTTTTGGCACGTTGTAGTCCTTTATCCGTTCCTTATAAATTGTAATGAAGTTATCCGGGCTCGAACCATAACTCATGAATTTGGGGTGATGGCGAAGATGCTCGATCAACCACATTTGTAGAATTGAGCCCCAGCTTTGCATAATGTCAATGCTCGATAAATATCTGCCAGCACTAACGGGACAAGTGTATGATCTTCCTTGGTAGTGAGGATTTGTGCAATTCTGACCATACGAGTATCCACTGTCCCTTCCTCATCTTGAAAAACCATGATCCCTAAAAACGCCATAATAAAAGCGAACCGGTGATGAATTTGCCAAAGGCCCTTATTTTGTTTGTTGCTCAAACCCTTTTCATGTGTTTCGAACCCAGCTGAGTACCCGAACCTGAAGTATAAGAAGTGGAAAGAACAACACCCTTTGCTTACATGGGCCTTCTTCATCTGTTTACTGATATTCAAGAGGTCAAAGAACTTGTGCACAGAAGGAGCCCTTGGAAATATAAGTTGTTGCTTCCTCAAGTCCCGGCCAAACTCGATGTACCCGGCCATTTCCTCCAAAGCAGGGGTAATCTCAAAATTTGAGAAACGAAAAACATTGTGGACAGGGTCCCCAAAAGTTACCAAAGCCTTGATTAAATCCTCCCGGGGTTTGATTTCCAAAATGTTTATAAGGGCACCCAACTATTTTTTCACCCACTTTTGACCATCTTCATCTAGATCATTCCACCACATACGCAGGTGTAGCCGAGCCTGTTCTCTGACCACTTCTGACGGGTTCTGGGCAGTGTCCGTTTGTGACGGGTCCTGGACAGTATTCATTTGTACCTGTAGAGGGTTAAGGTTAGGGTTGACTCTGGTGGACCTTTTTGTAAAAGAGGTTTTTTTTTCAACTTCTAAAAGAAAAATCAAGGACCATGACTCCCTCCCCTATATGCTAATTTAGCAAAAATGGTCATTTTTGCAAACGTGGCCCCTTCAAAATTTCAAATAAATTTTGAGGCCGGGAGAACTTCTTTATGGCAAAATGACACTTTACCGACAGACTTGTCCATTCTTTTACGAAAATAGCCCTTCGACAACTGAAGATACTCTAGGGCTATCTTGGCAGGAACGGCTCAAGACATTACAAAAGCTGGATCGGCTTATTTCGACCAAAACTCCAAACTACATTTATTTGACCTTTGACTCTTTTTTTTTTCTTTTTCCAAAAATAAGGCCGAACCTTATGTAGGTTGCCTACGTATCCCACATCCGGTGAGAATCAGACCTGCATAGTTCGGTCAGCTTTGACATGCTTGAAGAGGACACAGTATAATAACTCTCTTTCTGTTTTTTTTTTTGAAAACTTTTGGCAGAGCTTTGGGACATTTTCAAATACCGAGGATTTTTAAAAACCGGGCTTTATTTCCTTCCCTACATCACTCTTGGTTTTTCTTTGCTTTATTTTTCCTAGCCGATCAGCATGCAAGCCAAAACAAATAAATGTTCACATAGCACATAGGATGCATCAGGATGGTCTGTTATTTTGGGGTACACCTGTCCTAGACGGACCCAACCCTTGTGTTGAGTCCCCTAAATCAACTGCACATGATGCAAACAAACGCTCCTACTAGGGATCCGGTATGAGGCTATGTTTTTCAAGGTTTAAAACCTGGGGTTGTGTTCTAGAACTGGGTTACCCGAGCGGACAATTGGGGCCGAAGAGGGGGCAACGTACCGGGAGTACTAATGTTTGCCCGACCTTGTTGCTGGCCCAACCTCGTTCTATTTGGTATAATTTCTACAGAAAAAGCGGGCCACGCGAACGTGTTCACCATTTTCAGAAGACTCAGAGGGGAGGCATAAGAAGACAGTTATATACAATTCAAACAATATTAAAGCGGTAAACAGATAGCATTTAGCACAAAAGGTTGACAGAATACAGTAATATTAACAATAAATGAAGCCAAGTAAAAATCATTTTAACAAGCTCAAATTCTTGAACCCTGAACTAGAGATTCGGGGTTCTGTTCTCCGGCAGAGTCGCCAGAGCTGTCACACCTCCTTTTTACTATCCCGAAGGGTGTAAGGGAGTTTTTTCCCATTTAAGTGACAATTGAAACGGGATTAGTATTTCAAGATCAGAGTCGCCACTTGGGATAATTTATGGTGTCCCAAGTCACCGGTTTAAAATTCCGATCGAGGAGATTTTACTTTGTTTACTGTCTGCGAACACAAAAATCCGGGTAAGGAATTCTGTTAACCCGGGAGAAGGTGTTAGGCACTCCCGAGTTCCGTGGTTCTAGCACGGTTGCTTTGATCATACTTGGCTTATTAAATTGTTTAATTACTGATTTTAGAACCTATGTGCATTTGCCTCTTTTAATTAAGAAATTATCTTGAAACGGGTCACGCATACGTGTACCCATTTGTTTGGCGCGTCAAAAATCATGTCACGTGAACGTGTCCGCAATTAATAACGCTTTATTATTATTAAGAAAGTTTGGCCGAAGTTGCGAACGCATACTCCGGTTTTGTTTTTAGAAATCACAATCGTGTCACGCGAACGTGTACCCAACCGCGATAATATATTAAACGTGCCTAAAGCAGGCTACGAACATTTGTCATTTTTATATCTAAGTCATGAAATTAATACGAGGGCCATGAATGATTAAATTGTGGATGGCGCACCTCGAACTATATGAACTAAGTTGAATTAGTGGTCCATTAACAACAATTTTATTATTAAGGAAAGTTGATCGAAGTTGCGCGAACGCATACTCCGAATTGTTTTTTTTAGAATCTTAATTATGTTACGCGAACATATACAAAATCACGATGGTATTTTAAACGCGCCTAAAGGCCTTTCTACGAATATTCATTCTAAAATCTAATCAAAGTCTTGTGAGGGCCATAGATAATATTGTGAAGATGGCACACCTCAACCATTTTAGGAGTCATAATTAAACTGGCCCTAGGACGCTTGCAATTTACAAATGATCCAAATTCCATAAAGATGTACGTTGTGAGTGTGAATAGGCCACAGGCTATTTCAGTGAAGTGGGCCGGCGTTCAAACTCCTTGGCCATTGAGGTCAAGCAATCAAATTTACTGAGAAAATGACAAGAGAATTGGACATTAGAGGTGAGCCCAGAATGGAAAAGCAAGGGGGATGAAATACACGAGCCTGGCTTGGGTCAGGTGGTCTTACTTGGGCCAATTAACAGGCCAGGCCACTTTAAGGGATGCCATTAAGCACCCTTACCCTCTGGGCTACCCTGTTTTGCAGCCCTTGAATTATTAATTACCTTGAGTAGCCCAAACACTATCAAGCTAAATCAATTGCATCAAAGTAAATAAAGGATATTCATTATCAAATTCAGATTCAAACTGTCAGAGAGTTGAACATTATACAATTAACGAAATAAAAGTTCCACCCGTTTGAAAGTTAAAATCACTGTTAACTGTTGCTGAATTCATACGTAGTAGGGTATCCTAGACATTTGAATCAAGTGTTATAATGGTGTATAGCTTCTAAGCTCATTCAGATGTTTACAACCAAAGCTTAAAACAACAGAAACATGATGAGGGCTAACCTTGGACATAACATCACTACTAGAGTTAACCAACTCAACCAAAATCCAACAAAGAAATGCTACTCGTCTAAATTAAATCCACAATATGATAGTCCAAACACACAAGTACTCGAGAAAGAATTTAACCAAGCTAGAACTAAAATGACAAATCAAAGTCCAAATACAATCTGAAAATGCACTGTTCATAGCATGACTCAATACAGTACAATTCAAATAGTAAAGCTAATTCAATAAGGAAAACATGATTAGTCTTTGAAGAATAGGGACTAGTATTCAGCAAGTTCATATTCATTCCACAAATGTCCAAATCGACTACATGGCTTCACAATGCACTTCACATGTAAATGAGGGCCAAGAAGTACTTGGGACAGAAATTAGAACAAGAGAAAGATGAGGAAATCAACAGCAGCAGGAGAATGTAAATGTCACGACCCGGATTTCCCACCCTCGGGAGTCGTGATGGTGCCTACTAGTGAAAGCTAGACAAGCCAACCAACTGAATTATTCACCTGGTTTCCATTTTTAATTCAGTTACAATTTAGAACACACAATTAATAAACAACAAAATTTAATAGGCGGAAGACTAAATTTAAAGTTGTAATACCACTGCTAATACCATTCTATAACAAATCTACCCAAGACTGGTATCACAACTTCAAAGACTGTCTAGGAGTACTACAAATAAAGGTCTGAAAGAAATAAATACAACAATGTCTCTGGAAATACGTGAAAGAAACAAGAATAGCAGATAGAAGGAGACACCAAGGCCTGCGGACGCCTGCAGGACTACCTCGGGTCGCCTGATGAACAAGAAACGGCAATCTCACTGCGGTCCGAAATTTACAGCACTGGGATCTGCACAAAAGAGTGCAAAGTATAGTATCAGCACAACCGACCCCATGTGCTGGTAAGTGCCTAGCCTAACCTCGGCGAAGTAGTGACGAGGCTAGGACCAGACTACCAAATAAACCTGTGCAGTTAAATCATATACAGCGGAAATAGAAGCAGATAATTACAACTAAAGTTGGGCGGGGGAAACATGTTGTGAGGAGTAACAGGTAACAACAGAATAACAATAGAAAAGCGTAAGGAACACCATAAATCAAATACCAGCAAAAAGGTAATAAGAAACAAGTACACTTGTAATGCCGTTGCAGGCATGCAACCCGATCCCATTTCATATAATACCATTGCAGACGTGCAACCCGCTCCCATTTCATATATTTCCGTTGCAGGCGTGCAACCCACTCTCATTTCATATATTACCGTTGCAGGGGTGCAACCCGCTCCCATTTCATATATTACAGTTGCAGGCGTGTAACGCGCTCCTTTCGTATATTACCGTTGCAGG